TCTCCTGCTCAGACAACATCTCGGTATGGAGTATTGGAATGGCAAGTCGTTGCGCTTGTTGATTCACTGTGGGTCAGAAAACCACATTTCTATCGCCAAATATGGCCAGGTCCTCTCGACGGAGCTGCAACCTAGGAGTTAGTGTAATTCCTTGCTGAATATCTATGATTTTTCATCTTAAATAAAGCAAGTATTTTCTCTCTCTCTCATTGCTGCTACCTGTTCGGCCATTCGCGTCTAGAGTGATCTCCTAGTTTTTCAGACGTAGTTTCTTTGTCCACAAGTGCACCAGATCCTGTAAACGACTCCAGTCGTGGCACTGGGTCTTTGGGTCTCATGACCCGACGCGCAATGGTTGCTTCTGGCCTGTGCGAAACCCCAACTCCAAGAAGGTGGCTGACTGCTTCCGATACCTTCTTCACGTGTGGAAGAGCATGCCAAACTTTCGGGTTGGTTGGTTTTGGTATCTTGCACTGGTTGACAAAATCTGTGCATATATCACCCTTCCCTGTGCATGTACCACCCTATTGTACGGTTAAACCTTCGACGAAGAGTTCTCGACAGAATCCGAAATGTCAGGCAAATAAGCTTATTGTTCCAGTGATCGCATCTCCTACTTCTGAACAACTTCCTGGAGATCGCATATTCTCTTCTATCGGCAGTTCTAAGACTGTCCACCAGTTTTGTTGCCCGTTGTTTCCACTAACTCTTATCTTTCCAACTAACCCTCACTAAAATTAGAACCATTACGTTTCTCTTATTTTAACCCGCCCTTGTCTTCTTTTTGCGTTCGCTTTTGCTCATACTCTTTCTCTATCCGCCTGCAGAGCATTGTCTCGCGTTCGCTTGTACCGGCTCCCCTGGCTGCCGATCTGGAACAGGATTTTACCAGTGGTGTCTGCTCATGGACCTCGCCCCTGGTCATCTATCTCCGTAACGTCAGGTGGGAATGCTTGCATTTTCTAAACTGTTTGATTTAAAAGCTGCATTTTCGGCGGTGGGACATAGCATGTTAAAACGCGACGCGCTTTAATTCACCTAGATTTGGTTTCTGTGTGAACGCGTGCCAGCGAGCCAGCCTTACTTATGTACGTACGCATGTGCCCGCCAACTTGCGTTCAATCTTTTATTATCACGAAAAGCGATCGTGATATGGCTGGCTGGCTGACGACGGCGCTTTTGATTCGCAAGCAGCTGTTTT